TTTTCCCTATTGTATATATATATATATATATATATGTACATATATCTCTTCTTCCCTGTTTCTCCAAACCCGCAGCCTTTTTCACGAAAATCTCATCGCCCCACAGTCATCGATCTCTCCCTATCGTTCGTTTCTATATCAGAGAATTCCATCTCCCTCTCTTAAATCAGTCTCGCCATTGTCGATCTTCCTTCTCACGCTGAGAAGGAGAAAAAGCCCGGTAGCCTCCCATCCTTTCCTCTCGCCGGAAATCCCACCATCGTGAAGCACGACGACGAGCCTGCAAGCATCTCCGTCTGCGACTGCTCTTCCGCACGCCTCCCTCCAGTGACCCCCTCTTTCCCCTGTCCGCGAGTCACCGTCATCTCCCTCGTTGAGACACCACGCGAGACACCACCTCGAGCAGCGACGCCTCCATCACCACCGGCGAGCCCTTCTCTCTTAGCTCACGATCAGCAGCAGTCCGGCAAGCCCCGACGATGTGCCTTTTTCCTTCGTGAGCTTCTAACGCCGACGAGAACCCTTCCATCTGCAACTTCCGGCGACCTGCTTCTCCATGAAGTTTTTTCCGGCGAGAATCTTCCCCCGCAGCAGCACCTTTGACGGCTCGCCTCGGCCATCGCAGCAACTCCGCAACCGAGAAGGACCACCCCAGCTCTCTCCTCGGCGAGCCGCAAGAAGCTGTCGAGCCCCGTCGAGCTTCCGTCGAGCCGTTCGCATTCGTGACGCTTTTTTTCGAGTTATTTCCGAGAACGGTACCTCGTCGTTTTTCCGTCTCGTTTAACTCGTATATGATTTATTTTGTTGGGTGTTTATTTTCGTGAAGTGCTCGTTGATCAATGATATATATGTGTGAAGTTCTTGATGTTAATATGTGCGTTTATATATATTTTTATGATTTTATGTGTTCGTATGTTCGGGACCTCTTCGATTTTCTCAAGAATCGAACGAGACCTCGAAAGTCATGTAAGTCGGTGGATATTGGAACAATGTCGAGCCCTTGATCTTATGAAAAGGCCTTGGACGAGAAATTTTATGTTGTGATTTAATTGCCAAGTTGTCGAGCTTGTGAATCGCTGTTTCGGTGTTCGAATTTTTAAAAATAGCTCGCTGCTCGAAACGATTTGAAATTTTGAGGGATGTGTTATCTGTTCATTGCCTGCCTTGTGTAAAATATTCGTAATTTTTAGAGGCCTGTAGCTATTTTTAAATAATTAAATTGTAATCTGTCCAGAATAATGTTAAATGCATAAAAAATTCATGCCTGAATGAAATGAGCTGAAATTCGAATATGTCGTGCCTCTGTGACTTATATATGTTGTGTTAAATTTTTAGAATTTTTGGAGTTGATTTGATGTGGTTAATATTTTATTTATTGAATCTGCAGAAACGTTGTTTGAATTTTTATAAATTGGTTACTTCATGAACAATTCTGAAATTTTACTGAGAGGCCTATGTTATGTGTTTAATCATTTTTGTAAAAGATGGGAATTTTTGGAGTCCGTTGTGATTCAGTTTGGATTTAAATTTGATAAACTGTTGTTGCCCGTATGAATTTTTAAAAAAAGCAGCAGTTAACATTTAAGGCTGAGATTTTTATACATGGACTTTAGCATGTTGTATGTGGTTGTGTTAAATTTTCAAGTTCAGATTCGTTCATTAAGTCTGAGTATGAATTAATGTGCCCATTTTGTTGATATCTTGTTCAAATTTTATAAAATAGGGTATTTCGAGTTTAAAGCTGAAACTTTGTGGTTTTACATGTTCCTGGGAGATGAAATTTTGTGTAAATTTTCAGAGCTTAACTTGTAGGGTAGCTTGACCATCTATTTTCATGCGATTAAATGATTTCTATTTCCGAACATGATTTTTATATGAAATTTTGGGAATCAACTTGCCTTTCGTTTTCTATGTGAGTTGACTTGGTCAATCCTTAGATGGATTTGTGTAAACTCCCTTATGTTGTTTGGTCGAGTTTAGAGCCGAGTCTTAGTGTTCCAACATCCACAGGACTTCACGAACTACTTAGTCGAAACGAGTTCGACTAGGTCTGTCTTGTGATTTCTGATTTAAGTCGAGATAGATTCTGATTGTAGGATCTTGTCATAATGCAGGTGTTTAATAGGTGTTGACCTCGCCTCGTTTCTGGATTTGTGATTCTGTGAACTGTTGCTGCTATCAGGTGGATACGTTTATGATGTATTCCATATTTATCGCACTCCTTATTTCGTGTAATATTTCTTTGAAAATTTTTGTATGCATGAGAACTCTAGTCTAAGTGTCCCAAACACTAGTGCCTTGATGAATGCGAAAACAGTAGGAGGTCGCCTGCCCGTTGTATCCGGGAGGGACGCCCCATGCCGTCGTATCCGGAAGGGGAAAAACATCTCTGCTGTCTCCTGGAAAGGATCCTGCGAACCGTTGTACCCGGGGGTGGGAATGTTTCCAGTTACAGCCATGCCGTTGTATCCGGAAGGTTGTTGTATGTACATAGGAGGTTTGCGATAGGGCTGGGTAGGGGGTTTAGGCTATGAATTCTGTGCATACCGATTTTGATACTGTTTACTGTGATACTGTTTTTAAAAATAATTATGCGGGATAACTGTGCGATAATGGTGAGCTAGTTGGTTGCTCACCCCCATTATTTTCTTGTTGTTTTCTCTCTTCCTTTATATTAGGTTGAGACGAGCTGGAGGCGGTGGCGTAGGACGAGCGAGATGGTGGTCATTAACTGATGTGTCTTTGTTTCCGCCTATTTTTATTATATGATGATCTACTTGCTTTTATTTTGGATTATTTATGCTTCAGCTTGAAATCATGTTTGTGTTGGATGAACCATAGATTTATGTTAAACTTTTTGGATAATGTTGAGACTTGAATAAGCTGGTTTATTTTTATAACTGTTGGCTTATGTATGTATAGGATTTGGTTGAACTTTGAATAATGCTAGACCTTTTAAAATGGTTTGAGACTTATGTTTTGGTATTTGTTTTATTGTTAGCTCGTGCATGTGTAGTTCCCTTGTATTGTTGGATGTGTGTTGTTAGTTGATGTTAGTAAGTAGCGCCCGTTTCTCGAAAAAGGTTTTAACTTGGATTT